TGAGGGTTTTCCGCGCATGCTCAGAGGAGCCCAAATCTGAGCTCCTTTCTCTTTTCGAGTGTTGGGTGTCAAGGGTGGGAAGGGGCTTGTAAATTGACTGATTTTTAAGGGGCTAAAGGGGTCTAAAGGGGGGTGCCTTACTCTGATTTTGTTGTTTTCTTCTTTTTCTTCTTCGATTCTGTGAGGAATGCGGATGTGACCCCTCAGTCAAAAGTCGTTCATATTGCAATTCTACACAAAAAAACAGTGCCGATGTCACTTGTGAATTAACATATTTGATATCATTTTGACGTATCGTCTGTGTAAGTTATATCAAATATTGGGCGGGTGGTTAGGAGGCCGTCCCTAATCGGTTTCCTTGTCATTTGTGCGGCTGTTCTTGTTTGCTACCTGTTTTGCTGTTCTTTTGGGGGGACTTGTTCACGGCCTGATTGATTGTGTGTGATTGATTGGTCGAGTGATGGTTTGGTTGGTTGGTTGATTGGATGGTTGATTGGTAGGTTGGTTGATTGGTTGATTGGTTGGTTGGTTGGTTGATTGATTGATCGGTCTGTTTATGGGTTGGTTTGTTTGATTGGTTGATTGATTGGTTGATTGATTGATTGGTTTGTTGATGGGTTGGTTGATTGGTTGGTTGATTGATCGGTTGATTGATTGCTCGGTTTGTTGATCAGTTGGTGGTTTGGTTGTTTGGTTGATTGATTGGCTGATTGATCGCTTTGTTGATGTGTTGTTTGGTTGATTGTTTGGTTGATTGATTGTTTGATTGATTGATTGATTGATTGATTGGTTGATTGATTGGTTGATTGATTGGTTGATTGGCTGGTTGGCTGATTGATTTGTTGGTTGGCTGATTGATTGGTTGGTTGATTGTATTTGCCAATGTGGTGTTGCAGGCAGACATCTGCCAACTCGGCCTGGATCAGAGGAAAGTGAATGTTCTCGCGCGAGAATACTGCACGGAAATCAAGCGCAAGAATAAACCCATCATACTCTCGCACCGTATCCTTTGTTTGCCAAATGTCAAATACAGTTTATGGATGTGAGGTGTCGGCTGCGTAGCCACACTACTAACAAGACGAGAAAAAATGTCGAGTGTCTCTTGACACAGAAGGTCACAAGATGCATCTCCTAGCATTTATAGTAGTGGACGCATATTTCCGCCGTGTGTGTGTGTGTGTGTGAACTTGTGAAGATGTACTCAACTTCGAAGGCACTGAAGAGTAGATTACTGGCTGAATGTGGATGTGTTATCGAGGCCAGATAAATTCGGTATACTCCTAGTTGAAAATATATACGTTTAATTTGATTTAATGATTTAGGACACTGCCTGTGCACGATCGGATGGGTCCTGGAGCGGCGTGATGTTTTGGCGTCACAAAAAACTCATGGTGGCGGGCGAGGGCCCTGAATGTCTTCACAGCGTGGGGGACGCACATGGCGGGTGGCGAAGTGCATTGTGATGGAAAAAATTTGCACCGCCGTGTGAGTTGCGTTATGGGACCACCGTGTCCATGTGCTTCAAGCCCACCCACCTCCCACCAACCGCCGACACCCATACACCACCCATCCTCGTCTCCATCCCCGTCCCCATCCCTCTAACTCACCAACCCACGCACACAAACACACATGGAAGCGTGCAGGTGCACAATCCCCCTCTTCCTCCCCCCGGCGTGCCCCCTATATATACCTTCCTTGTTTTATGAATGGTTGATGGATGGCATGTGGATGGAATGAGGAGAAAGTTTGGGTGTCCTTGAAAACACACACACACACACACACACACACACACACACACACACACGCGCGCGCGCACGCTTCTGCGGCAGTACGGTGTGTGGGCACTTCTCGCTCAGCCACACAAACGTGGGGAACCTTGCATTTTCTATTACATTGCCCGTTTATACTTTCTTTTGTTTTATGGATGGTTTGCAATGGCTTGTAGATGTGGAGAGAGAGAGAGAGAGAGAGAGAGAGAGAGAGAGAGAGAGAGAGAGAGAGAGAGAGAGAGAGAG